TTTATACTTAAATTAAAAGATAAACTTTTCTTATTTAACATATAATTTTCTTTTATTTTGTGCTTTGGATGTGATACTGTAATAGGAATTTCATATATCATTTTCATCTTTGCCATTCTAAAGAGCTCATATTGAAAACATCAACGTGGCATTTAAGACAGGACAATACATAGCAGTTTCAATACATAAAAATTATACTGTTTTCATATTTTTACTTACTGTCAATAGTGATAAAACTGAGATTAATGTCCATTGCATTAAACAGCATAACATGGGGGAATGACAAAATATTATATAAAATGTCTATAGGAAGAAAATATTTCTGTGCTTTTTTAGTCCTCCTTAGAAATAAAAAAAATGACTAAGGTTACAGACATGGACAAAATATTAATAATAAGGATATAATGAGGATGATGAGGATGAAGATATAAAATTGACTGAGCCCTGTGTACCAGGCACGCTTCTGGGCACTTTATAGGTAATTATAATAGGTAGTTGAGTAGTGTATATTGAGATGGGGTAGTCATTGTTTGTCAGAATATATATATATATATTTTTTTTTTAAATTTTTTTTTTAAATGTTTTATTTATTTCTAGGAGAGAGAGACAGCGTGAGCAGGGGAGGGTCAGAGAGAGAGGGAGTCACAGACTGAAACAGGCTCCAGGCTCTGAGCTGGCAGTCAGCACAGAGCCCGACGCGGGGCTCGAACCCACGAACCGCGAGATCATGACCTGAGCGAAAGTCGGACGCTTAACCGACTAAGCCACCCAGGCGCCCCTGTCAGAATATATTTTGGCACAATCTTTTGTATAATTTAGCAATATGTGTTAAATGTTTAATGGTTATTGCCCGTTGATTCAGCAATTAAACATCCAAGATTTTTTCCTACAGGAATGTTTTACTAACATGTGTACAAAGGTATATGAGCAAAGGTGTTAATCTTAGCATTTTTAATGGCAAAAAAAATAGAAACAATGTAAATGTCTAATAGTGGGGGATTAGTCTAATTGGGTACATACTATGGATTAAAACTAATGATGTAGATAAATCACTATTTATTGGTAGAAAGTCCTCCATTACAAGGGGAGAAAAGGCAAGCTAAAAAACAGTATGTATAGTCAGATTTATTTTACTAAAATATGTTTTATGTATATATGCATAGATCAAAGTTAGGAAGGTTTTCCTCCAAAATGTTTATCTCTGCATGGAAGACGTATTGATGATTTTTACTTCCTTATTTATTTTTTAAGCATTAAAAATATTCCTTTAAAATAAGTATCTAATACAAGAAAAACAAACAAGAAAGCTTGGGACAGATATAGTTAAGAAAATCAGAATGAATAAAAAATGAGGATAGGAAAAAAGTGAAGACACAAGTGAGGCCGATTTTAGAAAAAGCATCCACCAGAGTCCCTTAACATTAATTTATCATGTTTCTCCTTTCATTCATTCATTAATCCAACTTCTATTAAGCATCTACTAATTTCTAGGTATAATGTAGTCATTGGACATACAAAGTAGAGACATTTATTTATTCAAACTGTATTATGTCAACAACTATTTATGATACATCCACAGATTATGTCAGGGATTGTCCTACGTACTGAAATATATTTATTTACTTTATAGCAATTCACAGGAGGAGGGCTTGAAAAAGGCGAATCTATGAAACTAGAGCACCACACAGTCAGGTGGCCAGCTAATCTAGAGTGCAGAGTTCAGGGAAGCCTTTCAGGAGATGCTGCCTGGGCTGAACTACCAAAGAGAGTATGAGTCAGTTGGGAAAAGAAAGGAAGAAAGAAGCTCTAGTTCTAGACAGATAGATAAATAGATAAACTTACTTATTTATAGACATAGCTTATACTTTTGCATATATTATTATATATAAACATTTTCATTTTTGAATACATAATGTTAGAGGTATAAAACATCCTGACTGAAGTTAAGAAAGACTAATTCTCTATAGTGTACCATGCATTTAACACATTAAACCTTATATTTGACTAATGGTCCAGGAGATGCTAAGAATAAGGTGAATTATATTTGGGGGCACCTGGTTGGTTCAGTCGGTTGAGTGTCCCACCTGGGCGTAGGTCATGAACTCATGGTTTAAGATTTTTTCTCTCCCTCTCCCTCTATCCCTCTTCCACTTTTAATTGCTCTCTCTCCCTCTCTAAAAAAAAAAAAAAAAAAAAAAAAAAGAATTAAACCAAGCAAAAACACAAAGTGAAGTTTTGAAGTTTTGTTTTAAAATCCATTAAGAAGGTGGCTTTTCGAGGCACCTGGTGGGTCATTCTGTTAAGCACTGACTCTTGGTTTTGGCTCAGGTCATGATCTCATGGTTCATGGGTTTGAGCGCTGAGTTCGGCTAGGTGCTGTCAGCACAGAGCCCGCTTCAGATCCTCTGTCCCCCTTGCTCTCTGCTCCTCCCCTGTGCATGTTTGCTTTCTCTCTCAAAAATAAATAACATTACAAATAAATGAATTATTTTTTAGCTACTGCTAGGTTTATTATTCCACGGTCATTCAATGTAAGAGGAAATACAGTAAGCTTACATTAGGAAAATGATATATATTAAGGTCAAATTTTGAACAAACAGCTAACTGCATGAGCTTTCAAAGCTTATAACATTAATTTTTTTAATGTTTGTTTATTTTGAGAAAAAGAGAGCACACCCATACAACCAAGCAGGAAGGGGCAGAGGGAAAGGGAGAGAGAGAGAAAGAATCCGGAGAATCCCAGAGCGTATGGGGCTCAATCATGACGTGAGCAGAAATCAGGAGTCAAGACATTTAACTGACTGAGCCACCCAGCCACTCCAGAGCTTATAACATTAAAAAAGTATCCTAGAAATAGAAGCACCATAAACTTAGGTCCTGCCAAAAGAAAAGAGGATTGATAAGAACCCTAAAATCATACACGTTTGTAAAAAAAAGAAGGAAAAAAAAAACTATGATGCAAACATCAGTATAGCAATACAACATGATCATTAGCTATTTGTAAATAGAGTTAAAGTTCTGTATCATTCACAATCATATATATGTGCATTGCAAAGTTTACAATGAAACCTGAAGATACGGCTCCCAGATCAGCATGACTGAGGTGAAATGAAAGAGGAAATATGTTTATTTGGATGATTTATGAGATAAATGAATTTTAACTAGCAACAGATTTACACATAATAGAGACCTTCTGGGTATCTATTCATTTGATCAACATATATTTGTTATATATCTACAATGTGCTAGTTTCTTTAACCCCTTCCTGCCCTACCACAACAATGTTGATGACAGAGAATAGGAAAAATGGAATATTTATATACTTCTGATCTATCAACAGAAGGTGACTACTGAAGTTACTGACACATTATGTTACATTTATTTGTTTAGTAAGAAGTCTGACTCATTATGCTGAAAGCTTTAGGACAAATCCACACACTTAACCTTTCTTTCCCAAGGATTAAAGACAGAGCCTGGTACACAGTAAGCATTCAGAAAATATCTATTAAATAAAGTACTGTAATTATATTAGCTCAATACATCCCTTAAGAAATATAATTTGAATTCCTAAAAGTGAAATTACTCATATAAAGTCATAAAATTAAGTAATGTCACAATTCAATTAGACACCTGGGTTCCAAAGGTGTGTTCCTTCTCATTAGAAAAGAAGAATTTTTTTGGTCCACCAACTAAGTAAACACTTGCAATGCAAAATGAATTAGCACTTCTCTTAACTAAAGGCCAAATGTCCTGATAACTTGTTTATTTACAGGGTAATTTCAGAAAAGAAACCAAGTTAATACTTGGCAGTTGATTTATCAATCTATTTACATTCTGAGTAGGTATTCTTCCCCCTCTCCTTTAATAACCTTTGTTTTTCTAGGATTTTTTTTCTAACCTTCCTCAAAAAAAGAATGAATTCTTCACTCTGGTCAATGTGTACAAACATTGGATCTCATCAACCATCCTCAAGAATTCTGGCTTCAGTCACAAAACCTGCCACACTTCCTCTAGAGTTCCTAGGTATAGGATATTTTCTCAAATTTTCAAATGCCTTCTGGAGTCCACCTAAAACCTCTATGCCCATTTTCAAACACTTCTCTAGGGAGCGCTTCCTAGGTAAACTTTAATCCTGGAACTCTACTGCATTCCACATCCATATCCAAGCACGCATGGATTTATTCTTTCAAAAAATATTTTGTACCGAATAAAAATTCAAAATCCTAGCGATGTATACATTTCCTCTCTGGAAACAAATCTTCCCCCATTAGCCTGGGAGCCCCTGTACTGTAGCTAGTACGTCTTAAAACATCTCTACAGACATTTTATTGAAAATGCTGATTGAATAAATACAAAGTCAATGAATAATGGTGTGCCCAGGAAAATGGAAGGCACTCCACAAGCAAGAACGGAGCACAGTAATTTTTTTTTTATTTTTATTTTTTTTATTTTTTATTTTTTTTTACAAATAGTTTATTGTCAAATTAGTTTCTACATAACACTCAGTGCTCATCCCCAAAGTGCCCTCCTCCATGCCCATCCCCCCCTCCCCCCCACATCCATCAGTCCTCAGTTTTTGTCAGCATTCAAGAGTCTCTCATGGTTTGCCTCTCTCCCTTTCCCCCACCATTTCCGCCCTTCTTCTCCCCCTTGTTCCTCCGTCAAGTTCCTCCTAATCCTCCTATACATGCAAACATATGGTATTTGTCTTTCTCTGCCTGACTTATTTCGCTCAGCATAACACCCTCAAGGTCCATCCATGTTGCTACACATGGCCAGATTTCATGGTTTCTCATTGCCATGTAGTATTCCATGGTATAGATAAACCACATCTTCTTGATCCATTCATCTGTGGATGGACACTTAGGCTCTTTCCATGTTTTAGCTATTGTGGAGAGTGCTGCTATGAACATTGGGGTCCATGTGCTCCTATGCCTCAGCATTTCTGTATCCCTTGGGTAAATTCCTAGCAGCGGAGCACAGTAATTTTTAATTCTCACCAACTGCCCCTCGGTCCCGACGGGATCCAGGGAGGCGGGGCGGCGCGGAGGCCGACCCCCGCAGGGCGCCGGGGGGAGTGGCCCCAGCTCCGCCCCGCCCCTGGCGCGCGCGCTCCCGTCGTCGGCCCCGCTCCACGAGTCCGAACGGCGCAGTAACGCGGAGAGAGGGGGCGGGGTTTGAGTACCTCCTCTATCCTCGACCCGAGACCGGAGGGATGTTCCCTGCTCAGGAGGAGGCCGACAGGACGGTTTTTGTGGGGAATTTAGAGGCCCGCGTTCGGGAAGAGATTCTTTACGAGCTGTTCCTTCAGGTACCGTCGGCGGGGGGGCGGCGGAGGGGCGGGGAGCGTCGAGCCGGAAGCGCATCCCGAGGGGCGGGGCGCACCTGGACCACCCGGTGCCCTGCTCCCTTCCCGCCCCATCCTGTGCCTAGGCTTGTAGTTGAGTTCCGTTAAGGCGCACCTGTCCCTACAGGAGCAGCTGGCATTGAAGTGATATAATGTGCATTCCATCGCCGACCCCACTGTAGAGTTCTCCGGGTGGGGGGTGACCTGGCTCCCTCCAGCACCCAGCCCTGAGTGAGGACTCCCCAGAAATTACCTGGGCCTTGAGTATTTATTTGGTCAAAACAGAAAACAGCCATGTCACTGCCTTTCTTCAGGCAATAAGCACCCTCACGCCTTACATCGAGCGAAATGGGAGATATAGATTTTAAATGTTGCCCTGTGCATTACTTATACCCCCAAACCCTTTTACATTGAGGGAATTTTTACTCCAGTATGATAAATGAAATTCCATGATTTGGGCAGCCGTTATTTGGATATGGCTATTTGGATAGCTGTAACCAGTTGATTCCTTGAACAGTTCCCTATATTTCGTACCAAGAGGACCTTCTGGAAACTTTCTGAGACCTAGGACTTCCATGAGTAAGCCTCCTTTGTCCCGTAAACACTCACCTATTATATACACATAGGTCTCACTTGCTGAAGTGATATCCTCATCCAGCCATTAATCTGTTTAATGATACAAAATTTACATGGCAAACACAAAGTAAGCTGAGCATGCAAATTTAAGAGATAGCCCTTGGTCTTTCTAAAAGGGGAAATTTAAAATAAAAATTTTGATTTAAGATAATCTACAAAAGAGAGATATGTAATATAGCATAGTTATTTGGAATATAAACTCTGATGTTAGCAATGTGACGGGCAGGTAGGTGAATATCTCAGTACTTCAGTTTCCTTACATGTCAAATGGTAGTAGTAGCATCTACAGTATGATGTGGTGTGAAGGTAAAATAAATTAATCCAGGTAAAACAGTTAGAATTGAGCCTGGCACTTTTAAGCGTTTGCTGCTGCTACTACTAATGGTAGAACTATTACTACTTACATCAAGAGAAATCAAGAAAGAATGACTTCTCTCTATCCTAATAAGGGCAAGTTCCAAGGGAGACCATAGCAAAGCTAAATTTCTAGGACTAAGTATGAGTATGGGTTGTGAAAAGGGTTCTTGATAAAATTTTTGAAAGGCCCTAACTTTGTCTCTGTCTACTGCTAATTATAGATACACACAATTTAGAAGAGAGAACCCCCCCCCCCCCCCAGGAACACAGTTTCTTTTCCTGGACATTAAACTTATTATTATTTGAAAAATATTGTTGATTTGAAGATATTTATGCTTATTCTAATTTGCCCTCTTAAAAAAATGTTTAAGCTTAAAAAGTTTTTAAAAACTTACATTTTTAAATCTGTTTATGTTTCCTATAGTTATTTCCCCAAATATCATTTGAACTTACCACTCTAACTAAAAGAAAAAAAAGTTGAGACAAAAAAAACCCCATAAAACAAAAAAAGGAAGGAAGGAGAAAAGAAAGAGACTTAAAGTTCTTTTCCCGTGAAGGCTTCTTTCATGTTGAGCTTCCAAAAAGAAGAGGTGAAGTTGGTAAAAGGATTGGGGATAGACATGGAAGCCCCAGACACTTACGTTACTTCTAGTCATTAGGGACTGGATCCATCTATCTATATACATATACATGTATATATATGCATTACATATTAATATAGTATATAAATCATATTGTATATAAATATATACTCTCTTTTGCTAATCATAGGTTTTACTATAAATACAACCTGAATATTTTCAATTTGTTTTATCCAACTTTAGTAATACATGATGGAATAATATTCACCCATTGCTGGATTTGGAATCTTTCTAACTTTTCACTCATATGATAATGCACCTACTTAAAAGTCTTGAAGATATTAAAACATTTTTTTCTTTTGGAAATACTTACCAAATAGGATTATTAGATCATAACACATGATAAACTTACTTTCTCTTATAAAAAAAATGTTTAATCTTGACAGAAAAACTTAGGCCACAGTACAACATTAATACTTTTTTTAGGATCACTGAAAACAACATTAGGTTGGTCATTTCAATTTATTATTGAGTTATACATGGTTAATATGTATGGAGAAAAGTAGTATTTCATTCTTAGATTTAAATGCTCTCTATATTGTTTTGTTAAGCCTAACAGAGGGTGACATATCTTTTAAGACTTGGAGCTATTACCTAAAATTTTCTATTCCTAACACTACGAATGTTTCCTTGATGAGCCAAAAAATACCAGAAAATGTGATGAAATACGATATTTACTGTTAGGAAAATGCATTATTTGCAGAACTACATAAAGCTATTATTGCTAACAGATTTTTTTTTAACTTTGAAGTTGAATATACTTGATTTATCTGAATGTAAAAAAAAATCTTTAGATTTATGAGAAAATAATTTTTAAGTTTCTTATAGGCTGGGCCATTAACCAAAGTGACTATATGCAAAGACAGAGAAGGAAAGCCGAAGTCTTTTGGATTTGTCTGCTTTAAGCACCCTGAATCGGTGTCTTATGCCATAGCTTTGCTGAATGGAATTCGTTTGTATGGAAGACCAATTAATGTACAGTATCGATTTGGTAGGTCTTGCCACTGATGAATCTTCCAAGTGTGTTTTGTTGATGGGGTTGTTCTCAGAGGTGTAAACATAGTGTTTTCTATATGATGTAAGACCAAGAAAGGGCTCTTGTGATCTCTGTAAAAGTTTCTCAGAATACATGTGGACATTCAAAATGTTATATGATTAGTTGGTATTACCAACTCTATAGCATTTATTTCTATATCAAAATTTAAAATGTTCTGTCTTAGTACCAGCCAGAAGGTAGCTACAATGGTTGCTGTTGGCTGTTTTAAATTAAGCAAATCTAAATGAACTGGGGACACACAATGCTAGCCTTTCTACAGCAAGGCTATTTGCTAATCTTCTCATCAGTGCTAATGTATGGTATCAAATACCTACGATTTGGAAGGTATAGTGAGTGCCTTAGTCATTCTCCTAGGAAAGCCATACTGTACATATTGCCCTGGACCTAAGCCCCTGCAAGAGCAGCTGGCCAAGAGCGGCTGCAGAGTGACCCTCAGTAACTGTGGAGGAAAGTTTCCTGACATGGATGACCTCAAATGTCTTCCATTGCACACCTGCCAACAACTGCCAGGGAGCACTGTGCTACTCCTCTGCCTCTTTCATGCTTTGAAGGACTGATACAGGCAATGCTTCTGATCATGGTGCAGGGCTTGGGATAGTTATGTTCTCTCCCTCCCCAAATGATTCAAGGGTATTGGTGGTTTTTATTCCTCTCATTATACTAATAGTGAATAAGCATAAGAAAACAGTACCTCATTGCAAAGGAAAAGGGTTTCTCTTTGGGTTCCTTTTTATTTATTTTGTTAATGTCTTTTCAAAGCTACTTAGCTCTATCATGCTTTCAGGTACTTTCCAGTTAATGCACAAGGCTGGTAAAATGGGCCAGGACATAGTATGTTCTGACATATCCCAACTAGCTGCTCAGTATCCTCTGTAAGGTTGCATCCACTTTTGCCAGTGCAGGTTAGAGAACTCATGCATTCTACACAGGATGCATATAACATGAAAGTTTGCCATTGTTAGTCTACAGGCGTGTAGAACAACACAACATCAGGGACTTTATGGTCTCACGTCAGTATCGTTCTCTACAGCCATTGCTTTGGACAAAGCTTGGTTATAATTCAGTCATCCGTAGTAATGTCAATAAGCTATAAATATTGAGAGATCAAAGATATATTTGGGTATATTAATTATATGATTAAAGAATTTTAACCAGTCCTGCATTCTTTCAGGTTTGGAGTTTTTGTATGGTTTAATGTTAGAACTCCAGAGCAGTGTACCATTAAGTAATCAGTTGTTCTATTTCTTCCATAGGGAGCTCTCGCTCCTCTGAACCAGCCAACCAAAGTTTTGAGAGCTGTGTTAAGATAAATTCACACAGCTACAGGTAATTAAAAATACTTTTTTTCCAAAAAGGTAAAGCAAATAAATGTTCTTATTCCAGCAGTAGTTTTTATATATACTGGACTATTGTAAAACTTTGCTGTTTAGACAAAGGATAAAATTAAGCAATTTACTTTTTCTGAAACCGTGAAAAGTGACAAAATATTTTCATCAGTAGGGGAGAGAGATTTATGTTTCTAGTGTTTATGGTTTACCTTGTGCCTGTCATAGTTGTTAAATTACTTAAGCATCCAAGATGTCATTGTGATGGATCATAGAGATACTATTATTCATATTTTATATTTGAATAGATGGAAACGCAAAAGTTAACTAATTTTTAAGGTCATGAAGATGAAAAAGTAATAGTGGCTATGCTTGAAATTAAGCCTTCTGACACTGAACCACTCTGTTATATTACTGCCTTTTAGAACTTCTGTATGGTAAATTTCCAAATATTCTAAAATTTTGTCTTGGCTAATTTTTTGATGAAATCTTAGCCTCTACAGACATTGTCAGGCAAGCTATCCCGGAGGTCATGGAACAGAAGGGCTCTCAAACTGAATTAAGATGTTTGAATCACACTGTTTATTAAACCAATTAAAAAGACAGTGAAAAGCAACAGGAAAGATGCTGGATAGGTTAGCACACTTAGTATGGCACACTTGGGTACAAGTGGGCTGAAGGACCAGTG